CATCATTTGTTGGCAGCTGAGCGCTGCGTCAAGGCAGTGTGTCAGCTCCGCGCGCCGTTTCACTCAGTCCATATACCTAATATAAATTACTGCCGATTTTATAAGTTGACAATTGTTGAAGAAATGTAAATATGTACTAACAAATGCGAAACAAGCAGATGTTCAAACGTTGCTTTGGAGAGTTTTGTAACATCCGGGGTGTTTTGTATTTTGTATTGAAATACTGATAGAATATTATCATACCAATATTTTTATATGATCGCCGGCAATATGATATCTGTTACTAAACAATCTGCAGTTTTATTTTAGTGCCCACTGCGGTTGAAGCGCCGAGGTACGGAACAGAGATGTCCTTAGTACATCTGGCTCCAGTTTGAACTGAAAGAACTATTTCAGAAAAGTTATCACAAGCTCACATACATACGTCCCAACAAACCGACAATTTCATTTTACAGCATTGATAGAAACCACTGCAATAGATTTTGTTGTTTTGAATACGGTCCACAGCACTGAATTTTTTAAAAGTTTCGTGAGACTAACGTACTGGTTTCAATTATCTGATGGCGGCTCCGGATGAATATACATCAATTTATATAAAATCAGTATATTCGTTGTATACTTACTGTCGGGGTAACTCCTAGTGTGCGGCATCAGCTTGAAATTATACAACTTCATTTTATTGTTTACATTGTCAAATCCCAATTGCATTACCGTTACCATAATAACCTTTGAGTAATATTGGCAGCTTGTAGTTTATGGTCTCTTTACCACACTAAAGTTGTTGCCAATCTATTTACCCCCTAAGTTTAATAAGGTCAAAATATATAGCCAGAAGCGTGTCGTAAGTGTAAGACTTTTTATTAAAGTACTATTTAAAGAATGATGCTGTGATTGCTGACATCCTACGCCACGAGGTAATGCGTGTTTACGCTTCACTATATTAGTATAGAAGTATAGATTGCATTAACCAATCAGAATTTCATTACAAGGATGTTAAGATATAATTGTACTATAAGAAATTAAAAGAAAACATGTAAATAACTTTATATATTTTATTTACAACACGAATATTACAATAAATGATAATTTTACACAAAACTTAAAATTGGACAAGAAAATAACTTATTTTTTTTATTTTGTTGGTTTTCGTCTCGAATTGCGACGAACTTTAAGCAATAACAATACTAATTAGGTAAATTGTGCGACAGCGGAGATCCCACCCCCGCCCGCGCCCCGCATGCTCCGCTTGTTTAAAATTCAGTAAAACAATACTAACTTGTAAATTAAGCGAAATGTAAATACGTATAGGATTATTGGAATACAAATGATTCGAGTGATTGCCTAACGCTAGAGAAGTTCACGTAGACTTCACTGTAATGAGGAAGAAGAATGTATCTAAAAATCTGGTTGAGGTTAGCAAATAGTTATGTATTGTGAAACATTTATCTAAAGTTCTTTTAAGTTACTTGCAATGGTGTGAAATATGTCGCGGCATGCGGTGTGCCGCGTGGAGCGAGGTGCGGGGGGCGCGGCGCGTGCGGGGCCGCCCGCAGGAATGTGTCACAGTTATGGAAACGATTCAATTAAACGCTAATCTCCCCGTACGTCTATTTGTACTTGCACCGGAACAAAACTTACGTAATAAACAAGACAGAATAATTAGTCAGACTGCAGCGCCCTCCCCCTCCTGCCAGCCGCGTGCCACCCAGCTTTATGTCATAATACATGGTCTCCATTCAGTTCTGAACGATTAGATAATAGGTCGCGAGGCCGCTGACTGGGGGGGGGGGGCAGAGGCACTGTACTCCCTTATTTATAAATTAAATAAATACAACATAAACAAAATGTACACAATGACAGTAAGATGACCACAGAGAAGGCCTCCGTGTATATTTACAGCCTTAACCTACATATGCAATATACACATTCTTATCACAATGTATTATTATTATTGAACATTATACTGAATAAGTAAAGTCAAAATACTGCAGCACATCGGAATGTCGTCGTCGCTTTAGTCACGGAGTACCTGGCCGCGTGGCCGCGTGGCCACGTGGCCGTGACTCCACATGGCC